TCCTGTCCGAATAACTTTTAATACTTCTGTTTCTCCCTGGGCTCAAACTTTGGGTAGAGGTACTTCCCACGTTCCCGCTTTCTCTTTCCGTTTTTGTTTGATCATACCGGAAACTACTTTAGCTCGGGCCCGTCCTTCTCTGTCCGACAGGCAGGCAGGTGCTGCTCCTTGAGGAGTCTCTTCATCACCCTTCTGTTTGGTGTTCCTCTCTTCATGCATCTTGAAGTCTTTTTCATTTGTACTTTCTCAGCATGGCGCTGTTTATGATACAGCTTAGCCTTCAGACCTGTCTTTTTTGCCTTCTTTGAACGTTCATGAACCTCCCGACTTTCCTTCTTTCTCTTTTTCTCATGGTAATCCAAATGGTATCCACAGCATTTACAATGTAGTTCAATATATTTGTTTTGTGGCATGGTGACAGCTGCAGAGTCGCCGGGAGCAGCCTCCCGGATGCAAAGAAACTGTCAACTTTCAGGTCTCAGAGACCAACAAGCGGATCCGATGCAGTCCAGAATGAGAAAACTGGAACTAACTCTTAAAAATCAGTAAGAAAAAGACAGGCAAGCCAATACAAAAATAGGCTTGGGCCAGCAGGTGGCATGGTGGTTAAGGCACTGAATCCCACACAGCTGACTTTGCAATTTGAGTCCTGGACCTGGAGGCTTGAAAAACATACCAGGCACATGTGCATGTGTGCCCAAAATCACAAGGGGAGAATGGAGAAGAGAATGCAGCATGGTCATATCCCCCATGCCCTGTCCCACCCCTCTCAGGCAAACACATACCCCTTATGGGAGGGGAAAAAAGTAAAGAAAAAAATAGAAAATGGTCTGGTAGTTCCACAAATGATTCAACATCGAGACACCATATAATTTTTTTTAAAAAAAGAATTATTTAATTAATTTTACTTATTCTTTTTTTTTTTTTTTACTTTGTCCAGAGAGAGAGAGAGAGAGAGAGAGATGGAAAGTGAGAAAGCAAGCCACCAAATCTGGGACTCAAACCATGGCGGCCATGTGGGAGTGTCCAGCACCTTAACCATGCCACCTCCTGCTGGTCCCCCACCATGTAATGTTTTTTTTTAAAGAAATAAGACAAGAACAGACACAGCATAAAAGAAAATCCAAATAGTCAATGAGCATATAAAAAGAAGCTCAATTTTGCTGGCATTAAGAAACATAAATTGAGGACCAGCAGGTGACATGGTGGTTAAAGCGCTGGACACTCCCACATGGCAGACCATGGTTCAAGTCCTGGGCCTGGTATCTTGCTTTCTCACTTTCCCTCTCTCTGTGGCTCTCTCTGGTCAAATTAAAATAAATGAATCAATAAACTTAAATACAATAATTTAAAGGAAAAAAAAGAAACATAAATTGAAATCACAAAACATAACTATAACAGAAGATGAAAAACAGCAAGATTTGTGAGTATGTGGAGCAGCTGGAAACCTCATACACTCCCAGTGAGAATCTACTGAAGACATTTAATATACAGAGACGGCCTGTGCCATGGCAGCTCCACTCCCGAGTGTATGCCCAGTAGAAATGTACGCATGGTCACAGGGAGACATCAACCAGAACGGACCAGAACACAATCTGTAATAGCTTACACCTGGAAACTACTCCCATGCCCATCGAGAGTAGAATGAGCACTTGCAATATAATCACACCATAAATTCCATACAGCAATAATGAGTTGAATAAACCTCACAAACAGAATACTGAGAAAAACAGGCAGATAAAAGCATACACAGTGCACTCTTCCATTTGAAAGAAGACACAAATAGACTACACACATCTATGCTATGAGAAATCTAGACACTGAACCTTTGGCAAGGGTAGGGACTATATGCAGACACGTGTGGAATCTGGGGTCCTGGGAACACTGCTCTGTTTCCCGATATGGGTGTCAGTTACCATGGTGTGCTCAGTCACTGATAATTAACTGAGCTGTACACAGATCACAAGCACTTTTTCTCAGTATATTACACATCAATAAAAATTAAAATACACAAATAGCTTTTCTATATATGCAAGTATTCAAACTTCACACTTTGGTATCTCACAAAATCCTAATTTTTATTACCCAGATGGGACTTCTAAAACAAGACAATACATTTTTTTTTTGAAGTTTTTTTTTCTTCTTTCTTTTTGCTATAGGGCGCTCGCCAGAAACACAGAGACAGACAGAGAGAGACAGAAAGACACAAAGTGAGAAATCACTTCCCAGGGGGTATGGCCATGCCACAATCCCTTTTCTTCCATTCTCCTCTTGGGATCTTGGACATGCACGCACATGTGCCTGGTATGAGTTTAAGCTACTGGGTCCAGACTCGAACTGCGGTCGACTACATGGGAGTCCAGCAACATAGCCATTATAACTGCTGGTCCCAAGACAACAGATTTTAATAAAATGCATGCTTAGGGCAATAAATGAATAAACACAAGCTTCCTGAGTTGAATTCAAACCTACCTGAGGAGAGCTTGATTTTGTCACTGGAGGAGTTATCCTAGGTGACTTCTGGACCATTGAGGGCACTGGGCTTGGACTCCCCTGAGCAGATCGCCCTGTTAGAATAAGAAGTCAGTTACAACAGACAGTATTTACTCCTGGAACTGCTCCTACCACAAACGTCCTTCCCCCACATCTATGAAAACGAGTTACACGTTGTCCCTGGACCCATTTAAGGATCTTTACTAAAGTGTAAGCACCACCAGTTGTGTCTTCGTTTACTACAAGGTAATAAAAAAACATGTATGTTACAATTTTAGATGAGGAATTCTTTCATAAAGCAGATAAAACTGAAATGTCTCTTATAATAGGTGTGTTCACATGCAAGGCTCAGAAAGCTGGCTACGTGGCCTGTCCTTCATCCCCACAAAGGATCTGACACACCTCTAGAAAGTGGAAAACGAAGTTTGGAGGTTAGAGTCCACTGGACCCCCTGGCAGAAGCCTCGGACGAGTCTCACCCTGCTGCATATTAAGAGTCACTCTGGGAGCCCAGAGCTTATCTCCAGACAGGAAAATCTTAGGAAGTAGATCACCTTAGAAGTCTAGTGTACAACTGGTCTCAGAGAGAATAACCTAGAACCCTCAAACGCTAACCAAGGGCAATGGTAGGGAGACCTGGGTGGTGAGCTGTGGGAAGAAAGAAAAGTATATGTGCCTGATGGTTCAAGTTTCCACTCCCAAACTAGAGAGAAGCATGAAAAGACCGATGCAATGTTTCTTAGCTGTTCACAGACAGAAGCTTTGCAATCTGGTGAACTTTAGCAAACTTCTTAAAGCAGCCCATTCTCCTGAGCAGCAAGTAAGGAGAGAAGATTTCAAGAATTTAACAACTCAGTGCTTGCTCATTACAAAATTATTCCTGACATTCAAAATCCAAATGGCTGTTAAGTGTGTCCAGCTAGGTATTATCACTGGCATTCCTAGAAATAATTATCACCCACAGAAGCAAACTCAACACAAGCCGCATTAGACTGAGAAAAACAGGCAGATAAAAGCATACACAGTGCACTCTTCCATTTGAAAGAAGACACAAATAGACTACACACATCTATGCTATGAGAAATCTAGACACTGAACCTTTGGCAAGGGTAGGGACTATATGCAGACACGTGTGGAATCTGGGGTCCTGGGAACACTGCTCTGTTTCCCGATATGGGTGTCAGTTACCATGGTGTGCTCAGTCACTGATAATTAACTGAGCTGTACACAGATCACAAGCACTTTTTCTCAGTATATTACACATCAATAAAAATTAAAATACACAAATAGCTTTTCTATATATGCAAGTATTCAAACTTCACACTTTGGTATCTCACAAAATCCTAATTTTTATTACCCAGATGGGACTTCTAAAACAAGACAATACATTTTTTTTTTGAAGTTTTTTTTTCTTCTTTCTTTTTGCTATAGGGCGCTCGCCAGAAACACAGAGACAGACAGAGAGAGACAGAAAGACACAAAGTGAGAAATCACTTCCCAGGGGGTATGGCCATGCCACAATCCCTTTTCTTCCATTCTCCTCTTGGGATCTTGGACATGCACGCACATGTGCCTGGTATGAGTTTAAGCTACTGGGTCCAGACTCGAACTGCGGTCGACTACATGGGAGTCCAGCAACATAGCCATTATAACTGCTGGTCCCAAGACAACAGATTTTAATAAAATGCATGCTTAGGGCAATAAATGAATAAACACAAGCTTCCTGAGTTGAATTCAAACCTACCTGAGGAGAGCTTGATTTTGTCACTGGAGGAGTTATCCTAGGTGACTTCTGGACCATTGAGGGCACTGGGCTTGGACTCCCCTGAGCAGATCGCCCTGTTAGAATAAGAAGTCAGTTACAACAGACAGTATTTACTCCTGGAACTGCTCCTACCACAAACGTCCTTCCCCCACATCTATGAAAACGAGTTACACGTTGTCCCTGGACCCATTTAAGGATCTTTACTAAAGTGTAAGCACCACCAGTTGTGTCTTCGTTTACTACAAGGTAATAAAAAAACATGTATGTTACAATTTTAGATGAGGAATTCTTTCATAAAGCAGATAAAACTGAAATGTCTCTTATAATAGGTGTGTTCACATGCAAGGCTCAGAAAGCTGGCTACGTGGCCTGTCCTTCATCCCCACAAAGGATCTGACACACCTCTAGAAAGTGGAAAACGAAGTTTGGAGGTTAGAGTCCACTGGACCCCCTGGCAGAAGCCTCGGACGAGTCTCACCCTGCTGCATATTAAGAGTCACTCTGGGAGCCCAGAGCTTATCTCCAGACAGGAAAATCTTAGGAAGTAGATCACCTTAGAAGTCTAGTGTACAACTGGTCTCAGAGAGAATAACCTAGAACCCTCAAACGCTAACCAAGGGCAATGGTAGGGAGACCTGGGTGGTGAGCTGTGGGAAGAAAGAAAAGTATATGTGCCTGATGGTTCAAGTTTCCACTCCCAAACTAGAGAGAAGCATGAAAAGACCGATGCAATGTTTCTTAGCTGTTCACAGACAGAAGCTTTGCAATCTGGTGAACTTTAGCAAACTTCTTAAAGCAGCCCATTCTCCTGAGCAGCAAGTAAGGAGAGAAGATTTCAAGAATTTAACAACTCAGTGCTTGCTCATTACAAAATTATTCCTGACATTCAAAATCCAAATGGCTGTTAAGTGTGTCCAGCTAGGTATTATCACTGGCATTCCTAGAAATAATTATCACCCACAGAAGCAAACTCAACACAAGCCGCATTAGGACAGAATGCAGTCATGTGATGGGAAGCATACCACCCGCCAGGGACAGTTGCCCTAACTCTAACCCTGAATCTCCTCCTATGAGGACACCAAATCTGCACTGAGGGACATAACACAGAACTGGTCCAACCGCTGTAAATATCAAAGTGGTGAAGACAAAGAAGGATGAAGAATTATTCAAGAAAATAGTGGAATACAATGCTGTGATCTCTGAATGGTTTCTGGATTAAAGGGCAGGAGGAAACCAAAAAGAACAATACTGAGACAACTGTGGAAATACAAGTATAAATTGTAGATTAGAATACCTTACATTTCTCGAGTCTGATAATGTATTGTTGTGTCCTTGTTTTTAGGAGAGAAACGCCTAAGCATTTTTAGGGATGAGCTGTACCATGATGTCTGCAATTAACTCTCAAATGTTTCAGAAAAAATTTACATAAAAAGAAAGCAAGCAAAGGATGGAAAACAGCAACTGGTGAACCTCGGTAAAGGCCATAATTCTCATCACACAATTTCTCACCCTCTTTAGTTTTGAAAGGGAAAAAAGAAAACAGAGAGGTGAAGTACATTTACCCATGGAGTTTTATAATACAGCTCAATTCAACTTGGCTATAGTTATTTTCAATCATGATCCTGATTAAATAAGCGGTATGCTCAGTCAGCAGGTGGTGTAAAGGTTAAAGTGGCTGGAAAACCACACCAGACACATGTGTATGACTGCCCAAATCCTCAGAGGAGGATGGAGGAGAGGGGACTGCAGAGTGGCCACCTCACCTTGAGGGATGATTTCTCACTTTCCTTCTCTCTCTCTGGCAAGCACAATGTCCTACAGCAAAAACTAAACATAATAATATGGTTACATTATGGCTGATTGTGAAAACCCAAAGTCACTAGGACTCGGGTGTCGCTACAGGCTCTCTCTTCTATGACTCTTAAAGAACTGTTCTGTAAGGCCTTCAAGTAGGGCAGGCTCCACATGAAGATGCAAACCCGACAATCAAAGACACTGGTTCAGAATCATCAAGTACACTGAGCTCCACAAGAAGCGGAGACAGGAGCCCAACAGCACTGACACCTTTGCAAATCTCTCAATTCTTTTTTTTTTTTTTTGAGAGGTTTTTTTTTCACTATAGGGCATGTGCGCTCGCCAGACAGACAGAGAGAGACATAGAGACAGAAAGCGAGAAATCACCCCCCAGGGAGATGGTCACGCCGCAATCTCTTCTCCTCCATTCTCCTCCCGGGATCTTGGGCACGCACGCACACGCGCCCGGCGTGAGTTTTAAGCCACCAGGTCCGGGACGCGAACTGCGGTCGACTACGTGAAAGTCCAGCAACATAGCCATTACGCTAACTGCTGGTTCCCGCAAATCTCCCAATTCTGAGTACGAGAGTCACAGCACACTGGTATGAGATATGGGAAGAAAAAATCACCACGTCATCCAGGATTCCTACTGACACCCAAAACGTTACTCTGTAGAAAGACTTACATCTACGCTGTGGGCTCAAATCATACCTGATGGTGAGGTAGAAACTGAAGACTTCAACGGCAAGGAACCAGATGATGCCGAGAGGGGCATGGGGTGGCTGAGTGGCCCCGAGGCAGCTGGCTTGGAGGTGGAAGAGAAGGGCAGCATGGAGGGTGTGCTCTGGGAGCTGTTCCCAGGAGCAGAGGTGGCCACAGCAGTGAACCTGAAACGGCAGTGTGGATGCATCAGATCAGCCTGCTAGAAGATTCTTTCAACTGGTAGTGAAAACGGCCGTCAAAGGATCATTTATTATCCATTCTTTGCTGCCTACAGGAAACACGTACGTTTAACTATTTCTTATAAAAGATGAAAGGTGCAAAAAAATATTTCTCTTACCATCTGCTTATTTAGAAATGAACTACTAACTGAAATATCAAGTAAGTTCTTAACTTGAAGGTGAAAGTGAGTTTAACACAATATAAAACACATATTTTCTATTCTGTTAAGCCGAGGGAAAAAAATGGTAGGGGCCAATTATGCTTAGGAAAATTCAGTCCATTTTCTTCACCAAGAAACGTAGAGAGAACTCAGTTTAGGGGTAATCATCTCTTCTGGAGAGTGAAAAAGCAAGGGGAAAGCAGGTCGCCATCTCTGGAACACTCAGGTCTAATGGGAACATGAAGTCAGTCCCACATAAAGAGTAGCGATCTATAAACCACCTCAATACCCAGCATGAGGTGACCAGCCACAGAAAAATGGTGCAGTCAACAAACGGAACACCATGAGAACGGTGAGTGAAGTGGCAGAGCTGATTTAACAGTGACGGTAAAAAGGTGGTGGCAGCAGTGGCACAGCACCGAGGAGAGAGCAGGTGGTAAGGAGACAATCTGGTCCTGTTTATGTTCCACGGCCACCTCGACCTCGAGACAGGGACAGACACGGGGGGTCACTGCTCTCCAGTCTCCCACTCTACTGGGAGGAACAAGACAAGCAGATGAATAATGATACGAGTAAGCTGGCAGGCCTAGATCTGGGGGAAACGGGATTCCACACCCGAGAGGTCGGGCTATACTTGAAAGGCAGTTAAGCCACTGGCAGCTACCAAGCAGAAGTGTCCTCTAACACCCTTATGATTTCTCAAGATCTCTTTGGTAGCTGTGTAGAACACAACTCAGAGGAAGTCAAGGAAGAAAAAGACGACAGGAGATTCATTTCCTTTCTAATATGTAAATCTAGATTGTTCCTTTTTTAAAGATAAGGAGGAAGTCCTGTAGCTCAGTGGCTGGGGGAGCTGCCCCGCCTGCCACATGACCAAGCACAGTTCCAAGCCTAGCCCACCAGTGTGAACAACATGCACCTGTGCATATGCCCCAAATCCCAACAGAACGGAAAGATGAAAAAAAGGGATTTAAAAAAAAGGGGGGGGGCGATTGTGGTAGGACCATTTCCCACTGGAGGGTGCTTTCTCCCTCTTGGTCTCCCTCTGGAGAGCACAACCACCCTCTGTGAAAAAAAATAAATAAGAAGGACCTCTTAAATTTGTAATCTAAAAAAGCAACATACGTATTCACACACACACCTCTAGTAGTGAAAAAATAAAATGTAAGAGACCACACTGGGCTCTCTCCACAGATGAAACACCATCTTTTTGTGTTGTGTGACCTTTTTAGTATTTGTAAGTGTTACCTAGGGGAAAAAAACTGGAGCTAACAGGTGGCATAGTGGATAAGGTGCTGCACTCCCTCACGGGCCAATCATGTTTCAAATCCCAGACCCAGAGGCTTGAAGCTCACGCAGGGCACATGTGTGTGCCTGAAATCCCGAGACAGATTGCAGCATGGCTGTCCTCCCTAGGGGAGTGATTTTTCTTTCTCTCTGTCTCTTTCTGTCTCTCCAGTGAGCACACTCACCCTATAGCAAAATCTCTCTAAAAATAAAAAGTTAGTAACTCCACCCATAGTGACTCTACTCCAGTAAATAACAAGCACATTTCTAGCATCCTATGGACAATCAAACAATTGTTTTTTTAAAGGTTTCTGCCACAGGGCATGGGCGCTCACCAGAGAGAGACAATGAAAGGGAAAGTGAGAAATCACCCCTGGGGGAGTGGACGCACTGCAGTCCCTTCTCCTCCTGGGATCCGGGCAAGCACGTATGTGCACCTGGTGTGATTTTCAAACTCCCAGGTCCAGGATTCAAACCGTGGTCAGCTATGAAGGAGTTCAGTACCTTAACCACTATGCCACCTGCTTAAGAATCGAACTTTAAAAGTGGCTTACTTTTCACCAAGGTTGACCTTCACTGCAGGGGCTGAGGGTGGAAAGGAGAGCTTCATTCCTAGATTTGCCGCAGATGCACTTGGTAATGGAGTGCTTTCCAGGGTAGGCTTGAAACTCGATGATCCAAAGGAGAAGGCAGCTGATGGAGCCATGGGAGACACTGCAGGGGTGGAGGCTAGGGAGGCTTTAGAAGGGGAAGCAAAAGTGAAGGTAGAAGCACCAGAGCCCAGGGATACTTTGGAACTGTCAGAGCCACTAGAATATGGAGGGGGCTCCCCAGTGACAGAAGCAGATGACTTCAAGGATGAAGACCCAAAGGAGAACACAGCAGGGGCACCACCAGCAGGAGGCAAAGGGAAGGCGGAGATGGGCGCAGCAGGTGATGAAGACGGAAGAGAGGCTGGGGCTACAGCTGCTGAAGCATCTGGTTTTTGTGGGGCTTGAGAGGAGGTTGGGGTAGTGGGAGTACTTCCTGCAATGAAAAAGACAAAAAGGTTACCGCTGTAACAGTGGAGGTCCACATGACAGGAAGCAAGTGAAAAAGAGAAAAAATGGAGTCAGAAATGGCCCTAGTTCAAGAAGCAAAAAGAGGATCAGCAGGTGGCATGGAGTTTAAGGTGTTAGATTCCACATGGCCAACTGAGCAATTTGAGTCCCAGACTCAGAGACTAGAAAATCACTGTGGGTACATGTGCATGCATGGTTCAAGTCCCAGGAGCCTGGAACAGCAGTTCTGTGGCATGGCCATGCCCTCCCACACTGAGGGGTGATTTCTCACCTTCCCTCTCTCTCGTTCTGATAAACACATGAGGCCTTTAACAAAAACTAAAAGAAACAAAAGCAGAAAAGAAAAGAGAAACGAGATGGTGTTGTTGAATTTTAGCAAACATCGCAAAAGATGAGATGTATGAAACTTTAAAGAAAAAAGGAAATGAGAAACGGCTGAAGTCTAACTAATGGGACTTCAAGGACACCCAGTGAATAACAGAAAAAATACATTTCTTAGTGTTACCATGGCATCACAATACAATGGAAAAAGTCATCCTGCAACAATCAACAGGAAAAAAATTTTAATTCAGACCTCTCTCTAAGAATAGTTACTAAAAGCAATCTTGGATGAATTAAAGATATGGGGGACTTCAAAAAGTTTGTGGAAAAATATAATTAAAGTTTGAGTTTATTTTGGTATAAAGAGAAATCTGAGGGGCCAGCAGGTGGTGTGGTGGTTGAGGTGCTGGACTCCCACACGGTCAACTGTGGTTCAAGTCCTGGGCCTGATGGCTTGCTTTCTCACTTTCCCTCTCTCTCTTTCTGGTAAGCACATGTGCCCTGTAGCAAATTTAAAATTAATAATAATGATAAATTTTTTAAATAAATAAATATTTAAAAATAAAAGAAATCTATAAATTCCAGGCAAATTTTTTTTATAATTTAAAAAAAAAAAAGTTCTACACCTTTTAAATACTCCTTGGATATGCATGTGCACACAAATCACAAAGTAGGAGACAAAGTGAAGTGGTCTCTGGCTGTGCACAGGTGTTTATTGGGCTAGTAGCAATGGCCCTCACACTGAACTGAGCTCAGAAAAGAAACTTCATTTTGTAGGCCCCCAACTTCACAGGCTGCCCTGCATGTTATAGACAGACCCGGCGACTGGACATAGGTAGTTCATGGTATTCATTACCACTTAAAAGGGGAAGAACACAATTCCATGAGCATGTACACTACAGATGATGATCTATCCCAGGCAACATTGAGTTAAGCCTGAAAAAACAGAATGGGAAGGAGAGAACATGAGAAAGCACCCCTTGGGGTGGGGGGGGGAATGACACTGCTGCAATCCCTTCTCCACTCTCCTCTTGGGATTTTAGGCACTCATTTGCAAGCACCTAGCACACTTTCAAGCTGTTGGGTCCAGGACTTGAACTGCAGTCATCCATGTGGGATCTAGCTGCCTTAGCCACCACACCACTTGACTGGCCCACACTGCAAAATTTAAAAATTTAGATTATTACTGTGTTGCCAGGTATCCATTCTGTGCACGAAGAATATGTATCAAAGCACTGTCTGTGGCCATGGCCTGACGACTAACTGGCTTTTAAGTGTTTCTGGTTTTGTATTCCTAATTTTTCTCCAATAAACATGTATTACTTAAGCCATGTTTTCAGAGTAGACAAAAAATAAGAAAAATGAAGTATATACATAAAAAGCAAAACCCTTGGGGGCAGCAAGTGGCATGAGGGTTAAGGTACTGGATTCCACATGACCAATCGCAGTTTGAGTCTCAGACCTGATGGCTTGAAAATCATGCCACATGTGTGTGTATACATGCTCAAAATACCTAGAAGAGAATGGAGAAGAAGGGATTGCAGTGTGGCAATCGCCCTGAGGGGA